AGTAGAACTGTTAGGTGTTTCTTTTGGCCTACAGGTGCCTTGAGAAAATTATTTAGACAGTAGAGCGCGGTGAGCTCAGCACGTTTAGGAGCCTCTGGAATAAGGGGGTAGAGTGACGCAGAGTGGTGGGGCCTCTGACTGTTATTTGGGGCATCAGAGAGAGCTTCTGACATTTGGACGGAGGCCTGGGCGAAGTGAAGGAGTGGGCAGTGTGGAGATCTGGAGGAAAAGCACGCCAGGCAGAGGGACCAGCAAGAGCAAAGGCCCTGAGTTGGGAATGAGCTTGACATGCTCTAGGAACAGCCAAAAAGGAAGCGTGGCAGGGTCCGACTGAGTGAGGTGGAGCATGGCCGGTGAGGTTGGAGAGGCATCAGGGGCCAGGTCAGGTAGGCCCTTATTAACTTTGTTTAGGGGGCTGGATTTTATTCTGAATGTGAAAGCGTGATGGGAATCTATTTGAATATTTTAAGCAGGGAAGTTACTTCATCTGATACTCTGATGTACTTTTCTTTTCCCCCCAAATTCATTCTGGCTGCTCTATGGAAACCTAACTGTAGGACTGTACGCTAAGCACAAAAAGCAGTTAGGAAGCTGCTGCTATAGTGCTGTAGTGTTGGTGAGAACTTCTGTTTTTTTTTTTATTTTTAGGTAGAGCTTGCTTGAGTTGCAGATGAATTAGATATGGGTGTGGGGTGGGGAGGAGTCAGGGGTGAGTCCTGAGTCAAGGTGTTTATTCTGAGCAGCTGGTTGGATGATGTGCTATTTACTGGGCTGAGGATGACCAAGCAGAGAAGCAGGAGCAAGGAATCTGGAGCCCAGGTGGAAGGTCCAGGCTGGAGATGGAAATTTGAGAGTAATCAGCATCTAGGTGGTTTTTACACCTATGAGACAAAATGAGATCTTGAGATAAGAACCTTATCCCAGGACTCTGTCTGGGGTCATTCAGGTGTGGAGAACTATAGAAACTATTTGCCAAAGGAGGGAAGAACCATCTATCGAGACCAACCAAAGAGGTGGAAGTGGACTTAGCTGAAAGCTGAGCATTGAAGAAGTTTGGCCGTGGGAAGTTGGTCCCTAACGTTAACACAGCAGTTGCCGTGGAGTGGTGGAGACGAGGCCTGATTGCAGAGGGTTAAGAAGAGAATGGGAGACGAGGCAGAGACTAGATAAGCCTTTCAAAGAGTTTTGATTTCCGTCTCCAATGTGCATTTTTTTTAAATAAAAATTTAAATTTTAAAAGTTTTAGATTCCCATACCCCCTTTAGTGAGGTTGTTTCATATATTTGTGATAGACTCTTTTGTCATTTTCTACATTTTACCCTGGGATCCCTTGATCTCCTAAATGATTTTTTGAAATTTGCATATATTAAGGTCCTTTCTTTGTGCTATAAATTTCTGTGGGTTTTGGAACTCATGAATAGTGTCATGTATCCACCATTACAGTTTCTTCCCACATAGTTTCACTGCCCTAAAAAGTCTCCTGTGCATCACCAAATTAACCCCAGCGCCAGAACTCCTGGCAACCACTGATGTGTTTACATTTCTATAGTTTTGCCTTATCCAGAATGTTGTATAATTGGAATCATGTAGGATGTGGTCTTTTCAGACTGACTTCTTTCACTTTGCAGTACACATTTAAGATTCATTCATGTCTTTTTATGGCTTGATAACTTGTTCCTTTTTATTGCTGAGTAATATTTCATTAGATGGATGTACCACAGTGCGTTTATCCATTCACCTATTAAAAGACATCTTGGTTGCTTCCAGTTTTTGGCAATTATACATCAAGTTACTGTAAACATTTACATATAGGTTTTTACGTGAACATAAATTTTCAAATCAATACATACTTAGGAATGCTGGATCATATGGTAAGACTGTTTAGTTTTATGAGAAACTGCCAAAACCGTTTCCAAAGTGGCTATACCATTTTCCATTCTTGTGATCAATTAATGAGAATTACTGTTGCTTCGCATCCTTGTCAGCAATTGGTATTGTCACTTTTTTTTTTTTCAAATACCTTAGTTCTCTAAGCTTCATAGCTTAGTGAAAGCAAAACAAGAGAAGCAGAATCCAGTTGAAGATTTGGTTTCCAGAAATAATAATTATTAAGTAACCATGGGGTAGTAGAACTCTAGACACAACCTATTCTAGTTCTCCCCTTTCTTATTTTTGTTGTATGCTGGAGACAATGGGAAGATTACTTCAGATGTTCCAAAAGAGTGCTATAGACTTGAACTTGGATATTATGTATTCATATAAGGCACATAAGGGGCTCAGGTTCATCTAGTATTTTCTACTGAATTGTTGAGTGATTGTACTGCTAATACTGTGCTGAGCGGTGTTATGATGATGGGGACATAGTGATGAATAAATGAGACGTCTCATTCTCAATAAGCTTACAGACTAACTGGGGAGAAAAAACAGTTACAATACACAGCAATCAAGGCTGCAATGGGAGAAGTACAGGAAGCTGTGTCAGGGCATCTCATCAGCTACGGGGGCTCAGAGAAAGCTTTTTGGAAGGAATGACCTCTATAATGTGGCTTACAGCAGGAGTTAGCTCACTCCAGTCCATAGGCCAAACTCAGTCAGCCACCTGCTTTGGTACAGCTCATGAGCCAAGAGTGGTTTTTACATTTTTTTTTTTTTTTTTTTGAGACAGAGTCTCACTGTGTTGCCCACGCTAGAGTGCCATGGCATCATCCCAGCTCACAGCAACCTCAAACTCCTGGGCTCAAGCGATCCTCCTGCCTCAGCCTCCTGAGTAGCTGGGACTACAGGCATGCGCCACCATACCCGGCTAATTTTTTTTTTCTATATATTTTTAGTTGTCCGATTAATTTCTTTCTATTTTTAGTAGAGACGGGGTCTCGCTCTTGCTCAGGCTGGTTTTGAACTCCTGAGCTCAAACAATCCGCTCGCCTCGGCCTCCCGGAATGCTAGGATTACAGGCGTGAGCCACCGTGCCCGGCCGGTTTTTACATTTTTAAATGTTTGAAAAGACTCAAAAGAGAATAGTAGCTGTGATATATGAAAATTATATGATATTTAAAATTTTAGTGTCTATAAATAAAACTTCATTGCAGTGCAGCCATGCATGCTCGTGGCTGCTTTTGCACTGGCAGAGTTGAATAGTTGCAACACAGACTGTATGGCCTTGCAAAGCCTAGGACATTTGCTCTCTGGCCCCTTGTAGAAAAAGTTTGCTGACCCCTGGCACAGGATAGGCAGGAGTTAGCCGTATAAAGCAGAGTGAGGAAGAGGGAAGTCAGTTTCTGATGGGATCTTTGTACAGCTGCAATAACGGTAATATATTAATACTTAGAGCATGGCATCAAGGAGGCGGGGGCCAGAGCACTGTGGTGAGTGATGTGGCTAAAGAGGTGGGCAAGGTCCAGACTGGCAAGAGCCTAGGCAGCTATAGGAAGGGATTTGGGTTTATCCAGTGGGGAGCCTTTAAAAGATTTAAAGTGACGTGATCAGATTTACTTTTTCAGAAAATCCTCTGGCCACAATGTAGACATTGAGTTGGAGAGAGTGGGGTGAGAAAAGAGGCAGGAGGACTAGTTGAGGCTTTTGTAGTCACTCAAGGGAGATGTTGGTAACCTGGACTAGTATAGTGACATTGGGGATAGGAATAAATTGACTTGGGAGCATTTGGGAAGCAAAATTGAAAGGCTTTGGTGTCTTAGTTCATTCAGATACTATAACAAAATACTGTAGACTGGTGTCTTATAAACAACAGAGATTTATTTTTCATAGTTCTGGAGGCTAGGAGTTCAAGAGCAAGGGTGCTGAGAGTTTCAGTGTCTGGTGAGGGTCCACTTCCTGGTTTACAGACAGCTGTCTTTTCGATGTGTTCTTACGTGGTGGAAGGGGGAACTCTGGTTTCTTTAGCCCTTTATAAGGGCACTGATCCAAATCATGAGGGCTCCTCTGTGACCTAAACACCTCCCAAAGGCCCCACCTCCTAGTGCATTACCTTGGGGGTTAGGATTTCAACATAGGAATTTTGGCGGGGGACATAAATATTCGGTCTGTGGCACTTGGTGATTGATAGGAGGCATTGAAGTGTGATTGTTTTCATGTTCCAAATGATTGTTTCCTTTTTTTGAAAAGTTTGTTTGTTTTTTGTAGTTCGTGTGAAAAGCATGGTTGAGAATTCCATGTTTAGTAATAGTTGTCAGCAAAATTCTTTGGTGATGTTTCATGCCTCCAGAGCTCCTTCCTGTAACTTGGGTATTGGAGTCATATCTCTCTGTGGCCTCTTCATGTTCCCTGTTGACAAGAAATTTGACTTTTAAGGCGCAGAGGAGCTATTGGCAGATTAATTTTCATTTTCAAGTTTATCTTGGATTAACAACTTTCATTTCTTTTTTGAGAGTCCTTGGGTCTTTGGTTTTCAAGGCAATTTGTTTACAATGACGTTCCCTAGAGCACTTAAGACGCTTTCCAATTTTAGATCTCTGACCCTTGCCTTTCTCCTCTTTGGAGAAAGTCTCACTTGCAGTAGAAGGTAACAAGATCACTATCTTCTATTTTATATGTTATGTGGCTTTTAAAGTGCCCACCCACATGTCAACTCATTCGATCCTACAGTAAAGCTGTGAAGAAAGCAGGACAGGTCAAATTACTGAGATTAAGCAAGATTAGAAGGCTTGCCCAAAGTCAGAAGGCCAATAAATGGTAAAGCAGGTGATAAAACTTAGGTTTTCGGATTTCATAGTTTTATATTTTCTATAATGTACAATGTCTCTGGAAAAAGGGAGTTAGACTAGCTAGAATAGCTATGTTTTCAGCAATAAAAACATCCAGATGAAATACTTTTTTTCTCCTCTGTGTATGCTCTGACTTCACCCAGGCACCAGCATAGCCCTTTCCTGTGCTTCAAAGCAGTATGTGGACTACCAATAATTCCCAGACTACAGATTGAGGAGCTGTGCTCTATATATTAAAGCATATGTAAGTATGTTTTAATTCCTTCCCCCTCTCTTTAGGTGGTTCCAACTGTGACAATTCAAGGCCAAATGGGAAAGGCCTGCTTGTGGATCCAAGCTCCAGGGGTCAGGATAAACCAGAAAACTTGCTCACAAGGTAATGCAACTCTCCCTTCATTGTATCTCTTAGGACTGACTGAGGATTTCCTCCTCATAGACCTGAGACCATTACTGTGCATAGTATGAGTTGTCCCAGGGTGGCTGGCCTAGGGAATGTTCTTAACATTGCCTGATGTTTATTGAGTCCTTACAGTGTATGCCAGGCGCCATGTTCTTACATGGATTATCTTATTTTAACCTAAGAGGTAGGTAATTTTTTCTGTTTTACAGCTAAGGAAACTCAGGTGATGAGAAGTTATATGACTCACCCAACATCCGAGAACTAGCAAGGATTTGAAACTGGCAGTCTCACCTTGCCTTTGAAATGTAGATTAGAAACATTCGACTTCTCCCTTTCATTCTTTTAGAGTTCCTGACTGAAGATACTTATTTTCCTCTTTTTTATTTACTCTTTTCCTTTTTTCCTGATGTGGTGTTGTTATATTTAGTCTGTACTCCAGTGCCTCCTACTGATGGTAACCAGAATTGTCAAAATTTCACTTTCTGGCTGGGCATGGTGGTGCACGCCTGTAGTCCCAGCTACTCGGGAGGCTGAGGCAGGAGGATCAATCACTTGAGCCCAGGAGTTCAAGGTTGCAATGAGCTATGGTTGCCCCACTGTACTCTAGCCCAGGCAACAAAGCGAGACCCTGTCTCTAAAAAGAAAACAAAAACAAAAACTTCACTTTCTTATTCGCGTCCATATTTTAATTATGCACGTAAGCAGCAATGAACAATCTTTGAAAACTTTAAGTGTAGCTACATCTATTATTCTTAGTTCATTAAGTAACTTTCAAAAAATGTTTCTTGAGCTGTTATATAGGGTTCTGTTAGGTAAATTTGTCAAATTTTGCTTAAGTTGGCATTTGAATGATTCGTAGAATGACTATAAATACAGTACTACACAAATAATAATGAAATATAAAATTTCATTGCATTTTTATTTTGGATTATTCCGATGAAATAGAGATATGGAAGTAGAATTGCTAAGGCAAAGGACCTGGAGGGTAGCATAGTCTTGTTCCATGCGTCACTAAGGTCCAGAAAGAGCCGTATCAGGACTGAGTTTTTTTGCTTTAGTTTTTTTTCCTTTGCTTTTGTCCATGAATTCTGTGTTCTAATCTCATACTCTGCCACCATCCAGCTGGACAAATCTTTGAAAATGCTGAGCTTCATTTTTCTCATTTGAAAATGAAGAAATTATATTAATTATCTTCAACGTCCCCTTCTGGTGTGAGAGTCTGTCAATCTATTATCAGAAAAATCTCTGGACCAGTATACTATGTAATTAGCAACATATAAATTCATTTAATCTCACATAGAAATAGTGTTGTTTTAGTAAACAAATTTTACTTTGGTCTCCTTTAGTCTTCTGTGACTCAAATGCTTGTGTGTCTGGGAACTTTCTAGCTTTGTATTTGTTTATTTTGCCGTGGAGGACTCATCAACATACGAAAAAAAATGTTTCTGTTTTTCCAGACAGACTAAATCCAAGTCTGAAATTACTGACATGGTTCGTTCCTCCACTATCACAGTATCAGACAAGGCTCATATTTTATCAATGCAAAAGTTTGGACTGCGAGATACTATTGTGAAATCACATCTAGTACAGAAAGAAGAGGATTATACCTATATCCAGAACTTCAGGTAGCTAACTGGGTCTTAGACTGTTTTCAAAGCAAAATGATCTTTCAGTTCTCTAGGATTTAAGCACTCCCCCCACCCCATACCCTGGGTTTGGAAGCAAATTATTCTATAGAATTTCTCCCCTCATTTTCAGAATGAGTGATTCCGTTCACTCATCATTAACAGGCATCTATTCTATTCCTTTCCTGGGCAGGCACTCTGGCAGGGGTGGGATATTGAGAGTGACACAAACTTGCAAACAGTTACAGAAATATTTGCAGAGACAAATGGATATACAAGAAGGAGCGATATCCTGATTGTTGTGTATCCCTCTGAGGATTTACACGCCCTTGGTCATTTTGGGCCTTTGAAGACAGTAATTTAAAATGAAGATAGTAAAATGAAGTTAGTTGGTGTTTGGTAATCTTTTTAGGCAAGGTAACTGAAAGCTAAATGAATAAAGGTTGCAGGATTCTGCTAGATCTCTAAAAATCATTGTATCAGGACTGTAAGACAAGATAACATTGTTTCTAGGGATATAAACAGTGAATGATGGTGAAGAAGTAACCTTTTGAACACTGGTGTTGCTTTCCTGCTAAAAATAATTACCAAAGTATTTTTCATTTATGCATTTCAGTACCATGCACAGGGTAAAGAATCATTTTGTAGATGATGGCTTGATAATGGCTGCTTAAGGGAGGTGGGAATGTTCGGAGTAGGCCTGTACCATTCGAAGTTGTTATCACAAAAGCGGCAGATATGGCAGACTGCAAGTCACCCCTTGGTGCTGCAGTCACCGGTCTAGGTCAGATATGACATTTCTTATGTCTTAAAATGCCACTCCACAGAGACTGAAACCACCATAAATCAGCATAAAATACTTTCCCCTGTCATCTCCATAGTGTTTCTGAGTCACTGATCGATTCTCATTGGTGACAGGTTTTTTGTGGGAACATACAATGTGAATGGACAGTCCCCCAAGGAATGCCTCCGGCCCTGGCTGAGCCACGGTATCCAGGCCCCAGATGTATATTGTGTAGGGTGAGTGCTTCTCTCCTAGTCATCTCTCCATCCTCAAGAGCTAGAGCTGGATTGAAGGGACAGGGACTTGAATATGTAGCTCAGTGTTCACAGCAGGTGAAGGAATCGAAGAATGAGCACGTACCTAATAACAGCTGCCCCTCTGTTTGATGTTCTTCCTCACGGTAAACAAATGTCCGGCGCTATTAAATCCTGTGCTTGACATTTAAACGCCAATGTTTAATTTTTAGCATAACCCTCTGTTAAAATCAGTGCATCCTGAACTGAATTTCATTGCTTAGACATTCAACACTTTTTGTCACTTTTGCCAGGAAAGAAAGGTTAAAGAAAGTCCTATCGGTTAGTCTTTTTTTTCCCCCACACCCTTACTATCCTCTCACCACTGTACTGAGCACTATTAGTGGGGAGAGGCAGCAAAGGAAGCCTGTATGGTATGTTGCAAAGAGCTAGAATTTAGAATTTATATAGACCTAGGCTTTATACAGACCTTTGCTGCTTGGTGCTTGTGAACTAGTGATCACAGATATGCAATAGGGACAACTACTTCATACGCTAGTCCTGAAGAGGAAGTGGGCTAATGTTTGCAAATGCATCTGGTGAGTTCCTTAGCGTTTAGTTCTTTGGCGCTGAGTGTTTATTTTTCTTCCTTCTGAGGGTCCTGCAGTTTAGCTAGAAAGCTGGGGATTACATACCTAAACCAATCTGAGAATGTGTCGTCTCTACATTACCTTTCTCTACTATCTAATGGGTTGTTTCTCCATTAGGTTCCAGGAGCTTGATCTGAGTAAGGAAGCCTTTTTCTTTAATGATACCCCAAAGGAGGAAGAGTGGTTTAAAGCTGTATCAGAGGGTCTTCATCCAGATGCCAAATATGCAAAGGTGAGAGAGGAGTCAGGGACCTTTTAATTTTATGTTGCCATACAGGGAAATTCCGGGATACTTTTTCACCTGTTACCTTTATCTTAAGCCAGTCATAATTATCCTTCTATTTTCAGTCCCAGGTCCTCCAGCAGGGGTGCCTTTGGGTGGGAAAGATACAGGGCCTTAGCCCTTGTAGGCTTCTAGGTTATCATGGAGCCTGCTCGTGAGTTGAACAGGTGATTACCTTATGTTCCAGCATGGAGAAGAAGATGCATTAATATCTCAGCCAGCTTCCAGACCACTTTCCCTTTGGGACGTTTATTCCTGTTTGTCAATTCTATGTAATGCCATGACTTGAATGTTTGTCTCTTTTCCAGGTGAAGCTCATCCGACTAGTTGGGATTATGCTGCTGTTATATGTCAAACAGGAGCATGCAGCATATATCTCAGAAGTGGAAGCTGAGACTGTGGGGACAGGAATCATGGGGAGGATGGTGAGTCCTGGGTTGGTGTGTTTGGCACGGTGCGGACCTTGACCCCTAAGGTTTTGACACAGCTTCTCATGAAGCAGTAACTGCACGTGTCCCACTCTGAGGGTACCAATACCGCAAGATGAATTGCACCCTCGCGCAGGGCTGTATTGAGCAGACTATTTAGAAATCCATATTTTAGTAAATTGCTGGCTGACTTGTCCAGCTAGCACCTGTCCTCATATTCACTGAACACTAGAGCCTCCCACTTAACCCATGAACTATGTTGCAGAAACTATGTTGGGTCACCAAGAAAAACAAAGAGTGCTAATAGTAGGTTTGCAATTTCCTCCTCTTTTTGAGGCTGTTAAAGTTCTGCTTTTAGGTTCTGCAAGAGCTTAGCTTTGTGTGGAGAAGGGAGAACCTATGGTTTACCTATGATTTAATGAAAAGAGCGTTTTGGAAGTCTGTAGGTTTAAATGACTAACACAATTAGGTTGTGAATTAGATTTCTTTTGGATCCTTTTAATAGGGTAACAAAGGAGGCGTGGCAATCAGGTTCCAGTTCCACAACACCAGCATCTGTGTCGTGAACTCTCACTTGGCAGCCCACACTGAAGAGTTTGAGAGGAGGAACCAGGACTATAAAGACATTTGTTCTCGAATGCAGTTTTGTCAGGTCGACCCGAGCCTTCCCCCTCTCACCATCAGCAGGCACGAGTGAGTCTGGGCTTCGAACCCGTTCAGTTCACCACGTGTGCTGTACAGAGTGGTGGGCTCTGTCTTTTGTTGGGGAGGCTCCTGGGGGCGGCTTCCCACTGCTGGAGTGGTAGTATCTGCCGGCTCTCAGTTACATGTGGATTATATCTCTTAGAAATGTTTAGCCTCCTAACTTACCATCTGGCAGACCTCTAGAATCTTTCTCAAACATCATGTGTCCTGGGAAAAGTATAAGATTTATTTTATTTGATTTCTTCTCAACATTTAGTTTTATCAACACATGTGTGAGACCAAGCATCCCTGGCTGCTGAGGAGTAAGCAGAGAGGTATAGTCAGGAAATATGCCTGACAAAGATGGTCAAGGGCATAAAATATAAAAAAAAAGAGAATAAAAAAAAAAAAACAGTTAAGAAATAACTTCATTTCAAGCAGGGGAAATGACAACACAGCCCTTAACAGCTATATTGTAGTCCAAATCCTGCTTAAGATTTGTTTTAATATGGGTCTGCCTCAATCCAATATTCTGAGGAAGGCAACCAAAGAGTGGGCATCTCAAACCCAGCTTTTAGAAGTAGGTTTTAGGATTTTATATGTCTCTTCTTTCCAGAGCACGTGTAATTGAGAGTTAGATTGTATTTTGTTTGCCTCCACTTGGTCTTTTTTTTTCCTCGTAATTCTATTTTACAAAGCTCTAGTTGCAATTAGAGGATCTTGTGCTAATTTTTGTTTATTCTCTTTATTTCGTTTATCTCCAAAACTTCCTATTTGTCTAAATTCAAAGCCTTAGAATTTCACTTTATGATAACAGCTGAAGCTTATGCCGCTTCTTTTATAAAAAAGAAGAAGCTACTGAGGCCATGGTGTCTGCAGGGAGTAAACAGAGTCACACCTGTCATCCTGCCTGCTGCGGTGGAACTGTCCAGAGCTTTCTGGTGTTCTAGAAGCCAACAAGATGGCTTTTCTCCTCCAGGGCACCTAGTTGGGACTGTCTTACAGCTGAGCTCTCCCATTCTGGTGAACCTGCAGCATCCTAGTTTGTGAGGTCGCAGCTTACATATTAGTTTGTTTTTAGCTTGTGGGTGCATTTATTTTGGATTGTGTATACTGCTGTGTAGACTCTCTAATGACATGGTTGGTGGCTTTGGATAGAGAAGTATTGGACTTCATGAGATGTGTGATGTCATCAGGGAGCCTTCAGTAGCTTTTTCCCAAGGCAGCAGGTGTAGTAAAACACCTGTCATGCTGCCCAGGAGTGCAAAAGGAGCCAACCACAATGATACGGTGGTGGTTAAATTGAGGCTCCACTATAAAGGTTGAGCTTTGTTTCAGAGGAACTCCGTTCTAGAAACAAAGGCTGAGAGTGTGTTTTGTGGACTGCAGTGTACACAGAGGTAGAGGCGGCATCATGGCATCATTTGATTTTGGGTCCCTGGGTGATTGGCATGACTCCTATTCTTGATCTTTTTTGCCTCTTCCTAGGAATGGAGTAAACTATTGCCTTGCTTTTAGATCTTACTAGACTATCTTTCTAACAATACAAGAATAAAATAGTCAAGGAGAACTCAAGGCTATTTATAATGAACTTGGACCAAGACAATTGAGTAAGCAGCATGCTAGGGTATTAAATGGAATGGCAAGAGAAAAAAAATTTCCTGAACAGCTGAATCACTTCCCCACCCAGCTCCCAAGAGGCTGAGCCTCAGGGGCCTTCTGTCAGAAGCCCCCCAGACAGGGTGGGTTAAAGTCCCTCCTAAACCCTGTTGCCTTTGTGCTCTGTCCTCACAGTGTGATCTTGTGGCTGGGGGACCTCAACTACAGGATAGAAGAGCTGGATGTGGAAAAAGTGAAAAAGCTCATCGAAGAGAAGGCCTTTCAAACCCTGTATGCGTATGATCAGGTACAGATGGCCACCTGTGTCCTCTTCAGGCAGCTGCCACCCACTGTGAGGGCACAGAAAAGCTGGCTTCCAAACTCTCAGCCTCTTCTTCCTCAGCTTGGAAAGTTTCCCTGATGTTGTCCGGTCATTTCTTCATTTCACCTGCATTTCCCTCTTCCTTAGTTATCTCCCCGTCGGCTCTTTACTGAGGCGCCTTGTCTTCTTTAGGAGCAAGAGTGAGTGCTCTCTCTCTCTCTCTCTCTCTCTCTCTCTCTCTCTCACTCTCTCACTTTCTCTCATTCATTCATTCGAGAGGCCTGAAGTTGGGGCTAAAAGGGTATCAATCTTCCATAAAAAAAGTACTTGGTATATTTAAGCTAACTTGATGTTTTTAGAATGAGCCCCCTGCTCCCTTTGTCCTTCTCCTCGCCAGACTCCTCCAGTGTGAGTGACAACTCTTCCTAAGTGACTTTCTTCACTTCCTACAGGAACCAGTTCCGTAACCTGCCGTTCACCACATTTGACTTAGCATTTCTTTCTCAGAGCATTAGCCCTTTCACGGTACGGGACAAATCTTGCGGGGAATGTGGCCAGTGTTCCCTGCAAAAAACTGGGTCCCTTTGGTAGAGTTGCAAGGGATAAGAAAATAATAGAGAGAAATGGAAAATGGAAGAAATAAAAGAATACACTGAGACAAAGATATAGTTTTATAAGTTTATAAAGATTATAGGCAAAGCGGGAACTCAGGGGGCTCGGACCTCTCCGTTGGTCTCAAAAAGCCCCGAATGAGGTCTTACATGGTAACTTAAAGAAAATAGTGAACAATTGTCAGGGGTAACAAATTTACATAACAACAGGTAGTATCTCTCAGGTTAACAGATTTTCAAAAGGCTTTTACAGAAGGGTTCTACGGATTCTTTAACTAATTCTATTTACGTGAGCAAATGGTTACAAAGTCTTTCAAAGGTGAATCTCTAAATTCTAAGGTAAGTTTATCATTTAACCAGAGGGGTTAAACAGAGATATGTAAGCTCCATGTTTATGAGGTTATTGTGAATGGAGACAGGTAGTCTAGACTGGTTTAAACAAAAGCTTTGCTTTTGGCCATTTGGGAAGCTGTCCTTTCCCGGAAGCTGTTTGTTCCAGAGGGCACTCCATTGTCAGCTCTCAGCCTATGGTTTTTAACAGATTCACTTGTGCTTTACAAAGCAAATCCAATTCTTTAGGTCTGAGAAACGGGGCGCCTCGTGGGCCACAGCGGCTACTGCCTTTCAGAGATGCCCTTCCGAGTGTAACAGCATTCGAAATGCAAACCAACACGTTCACATATTCTTTTAGGGCAAAGCTCTGTAAAACTCTTAAGACAAGTCCTGTCCCAAAACACGTTTAATACTAATTCATGGAGCGACAAAATCTGTTTCTCTCTGACTTTCTTCTGGCTACTCCTCTCAGCAGATTTCAAACCTGTGGTCAGAGTTATTCAGCATGTTAAAGTCCTGTCTGTTTTTTAGTCTATATCCTCCCCCTTTTAATAACCTTAGTATTGTCATTAGTCTAAATCTTTCGATTACTTTTTTCCCCAGTGCAGATCAATTGAAGAAAAAGAGTCTCAACTTCGTTATATCTGTTTTTTTTTTTTTTTGGAATAATGTCTTTATTGACCCATTTTTTTCTCTTTAACTCTTTTCATTGGTAAATTAATTTCATTCTACTTAATCCCAGTGTCAGGGGTAACCCAGTCTTTCCCTGTCCCTTCTGGTTCTGACTAAGGCTTTCTAGTTTCCCTTGTAGTTTGATGCCCATCTTCACTTGCCTTCTTTTCTGGTCTTTCCTGAAGTAGTATTACCCATTTTGTGTGTTATCTGCTTTCCAAATGGGTTAAAGGTCTATATGTATCCATTCAAGAAGCATCAGTTTACATTCATACCTAAATTTTTACTATATCCTATTGTCTTTTATTTAATAGTTTTTTTTTTTTAAAGAAAATCATATTTTCAGGAATTTGGCTAGTGGTATCTCCTGGCTAGCTGACCCTGTCTCCAGTATTAGAGGTGACAGACCTTTACCAGTCCATGCAGTACCAAGTTTCGTGCTCCAGGGAGGAGGCAGGAGCACCTGTGGTTTTCATCTCTTGCTGAGAGCGTGATCAGGAAAGAGCTCCTAAAATTAATACAATAGGAAGGATGCTAGCTATTTTCATAATGTGTCAGGCACTGTTCTAAGTTGACAGTTAATCTTTCTAATGACCCTGTGAGGTAGATGCTATTAATATTATAAATCCAAAATTTACAGATGAACAAACCAAGGCACAGAGCTTCCCCCAGTTCACATAACTAATTTGACAACACAATTCTATCTTTGTGTATATTTGGAGCAACTGTGCTACACAGATGAAGTGTTTGATACCTGAAAGGGAAAAACTATGTTGAGTGGTACTTAGTCCTCTTAGGGACATCTCAGTAAGATGGTACTCAGGCCCCTTGGGTGTAGGTATGCTCTTATAAAAGAGCCTTAAAAACTATTTACAGGTGAAGGAATGGTCAACTTCTCCTCCTAGGAATTACTTAACTCAAGATCTTATAGAATAGCTTTCTTGTGGGGCCTTTCCCTTTGAGTTAGGATTTGAATTCCAAATTGATTTTCTTTTCTCTGCTAACTCAAAGTTTGACCTTTCTATTCTGAGATATTTTTTCTCCCATCCTTTTATATAGCTGAAAATTCAGGTGGCTGCAAAGACTGTCTTTGAAGGCTTCACAGAGGGTGAGCTCACATTCCAGCCTACCTATAAGTATGATACCGGCTCTGATGACTGGGATACCAGGTGAGTCATTGCTTCAGGGGATTGAGCAAATGGAAGCCCAGAAATTCTGGGAAGCACTTGCCCTTGTGGACCTACAAAATAGACATTTCCTGTGACTTTCCCCCCATGTTTTGTACTTTGGTCAAACATTTCTCTCAGTATCTATTCATTAAGCAGCCTGTCTTCCCATATATTTTCTTTGTGACTGCTGTACCCTTTGTGTCTTAATAATTTTCTTTTTTTTTGAGACAGGGTCTTGATCTCTTGCCTGGGTGAGAGTGCAGTGGTGTGATCATAACTCACTGCAACCTTGAACTCCTGGGTTCAAGCGGTCCTCCCTCCTTAGCCTCCTGAGTAGCTGGGACTAGAGGCATGCGCCACCACGCCCGGCTAACATAATAATTTTTGACATTGATTTACTTTTTAGCTATGCCTCGGGTAATGAGATGATTCCAACTAACTTAGCGTGGCCTTGGTCATTACATAGTAGTTAACTGTTTTTATTCGTGCTTACCATGTGCCACATGCTCTTTCATACACTTTACTTGTATTTTCTCATTTAATACCCTCAACAACCTGTTGAGCTAAGTGTGATTTATTATTCTCATTTTATTAGATTGGGGACTGAGACATAGAAAAATTAAACAATTCTCCAGGCAGGCAAGTGGTAGAGGCAGGATTTGAACCCAGAAAGTGGAAATTCAGAGCCTGTTCTCTTAACCACCATCTTTTTTATTTATTTATTTATTTTTTATTTTTTTAGAGACAGAGGGTCACTATGTTGCCCAGGCTGGTCTCAAACTCCTGAGCTGAAGCGATCCTCCTGCTTCAGCCTCCTGAGTAACTGGGACTACAGGCATGTGCCACCATGGTTGGCAATCACCATCTTTTAAGGACTGTAGAGTGCTTACTCTCAGAGTGCCATTTTCATGCTCTCCTAATCCTCATAGGAGGGTAAAGAGCAGAGAATCAGTCTGAATGGTGTTTTGGCTTTGAGCTTTCATAGTTGCTTTAGATGTTACTCATAGGATATATGTTATCCCTTGATGGGCCCAGACCGCTCTTGCTGTCCCAGGTGACCGGGTTGCATGGACACAAAGGTTCTGGTTTATTATTCCCTGTGCAAGCCAGGGCACTAGTCAAGCAGTGCTCCCAGTGTGGACTTTGCATTTCAGCGAGAAATGTCGTGCTCCTGCCTGGTGTGACCGGATCCTCTGGAAAGGGAAAAACATCACTCAGCTGAGTTACCAGAGCCACATGGCACTCAAGACCAGTGACCACAAGCCCGTCAGCTCAGTGTTTGACATTGGGGTAGGTGTGCAGCTGGTACCTGTTGTAATCATTCTGTAGGGAATTGGTTTTCACAACCAAGACCACTTGTTGTCTTTCTGGTTTCCTCCTCTCTCCTTGAATGTGAGGAAGCTCCTTTTAACAATTTTGTTTAAATTTAATTAATAATTGTTTGGATATGCTTCTATATTTTTCTACATACATAGAAATTTACTTTTGCTTTTTGAACTGTATCTTTCCAGATCTTTCTCTGTGCATTTACAAATGAATGTGTCAGTATTCTGTATACAACATAGAGGATATTTTTCCTTTTTTGTAAAAGAGATCATATTATACATACTGTTCTGAGAAGATTTTTTTCCCCCTACTGAATATGTCTTAGGAGATCTTTCCATGACAGTAAAGGTAGAACTTTCTCTGCATTATTTTTCAAGGCTGCAAAGTATTCCATAGTATGGATGAACCATAATGTATGTACTGATGATCATTTAAGTTATTTCCCAAGTTTTGCTATTCTATGGCTATCATGACCATCCTTCACATATATCTTTGTGTATTAGTGTATTTCTATAGAATGAAATTACTAGAGATGAAATTAGTGGTTCAAAGAAGAATGTGTTTTAAAATTATTAGATCCTGCTAAATTACCCTCGCAATAGTTCTTAATATTTTACACTTCTACCAACCATGTGTGACCTTATTTTCCCACACCCTTGCCAATATTGGATTTTATCAATCTTTTTAAATTTTTACCAACCCAATAAACAAAAAGAAAAAAAAAAATTTTTTTTCTTTTTTTTGAGACAGAGTCTCACTCTGTTGCCCTGGCTAGAGTGAGTGCCGTGGCATCAGCCTAGCTTACAGCAACCTCAAACTCCTGGGCTCAAGCGATCCTACTGCCTCAGCCTCCCGAGTAGCTGGGACTACAGGCATGTGCCACCATGCCCGGCTAAGTTTTTCTATATATTTTTAGTTGTCCAATTAATTTCTTTCTATTTTTAGTAGAGACTGGGTCTCGCTCTTGCTCAAGCTGGTTTCGAACTCCTGAGCTCAAACAATCCGCCCGCCTCGGCCTCCCAAAGATCTAGGATTACAGGCGTGAGCCACCGCACCCGGCCTCTTTGTATTTTTTAGTAGAGACTGGGGTCTCCCTCTTGCTCAGGCTGGTCTCGAACTCCTGAGCTCAAACAATCCGCCCGCCTCGGCCTCCCAAAGATCTAGGATTACAGGCGTGAGCCACCGCACCCGGCCTCTTTGTATTTTTTAGTAGAGACTGGGGTCTCCCTCTTGCTCAGGCTGGTCTCGAACTCCTGAGCTCAAACAATTCACCCGCCTCGGCCTCCCAGAGTGCTAGGATTACAGGCATAAGCCACCGCGCCCGGCCAAAAAAAAAATTTTTTTTATCGTATCAGATTATATTTCCCTGATGCCTAGTGAGGTCAAACATCTTTTCATTTCTTTATTATCTATTTGTATTTCTTTTTCGGTGACTTCTATGTTTCTTTATATTACCAATTCTCAAGGGTGTGAGTATAAGAATCTATGCGGGTGTGAGTAGTTTGAGAAAAGCCTACTGAATGTTATAATTAAGGTTTTAGTATTGGAAAATGAAGGAAAATTGTGTTTATAATTAAAAATAGAGAAGGGAGGGCCTGACAAAATCTTCCTTGTTGATAGAGCATGGGTTAAAAAAGCTTGAGAAATGCTGCTTTAAATCAAAGCCCTCGAGAAGTTTCTCACTGCCAGCCTGTGGGTGGCAGCAAGCAAAATAGAGCCAGACCCGAAGCAAGGCCTGGGCCTAGGACCTGGCAGAACCAACTGCCAGCCATGCTCTCACTTCCATGCCTTCTTTTTGTTGATCAGGAAGCAGTTGCCTTTGCACAAGCTTTGCTTCTGGGGGATCCTTCTAAGTCTACTGTTAACTGGGTTCTTTGTAAATTAATTAAATCTATTTAGCCTTCACTTTTCTGTGTCGTTATCAGCTGCCATTTCCCAGGCCATGAATGCCCTCTATACTGAAAGAGAAGAAATGGGCAGAAGCCAAAGCACTCAGTCTCTGACGTTTCCCTTCCAGGTGAAGGTCATAAATGAAGAGCTTTACCGGAAGACTCTGGAGGAAATTGTTCGCTCCCTGGATAAGATGGAAAATGCCAACATTCCTTCTGTGTCCCTCTCCAAGCGAGAGGTAGGAAAGACATGTTAAGAATATTAGTATTGGGCTCTTCAATTCCTAGAACTTAAATCTCCCTCATCTACTAGAGCTCGGAATTCCAGGAGGCACCTATCATGCTACTGGGCTCTGGTTTCTTTTTTTTTTTTTTTTTGAGACAGAGTCTCACTCTTTTGCCCCGGCTAGAGTGAGTGCCGTGGCGTCAGCCTAGCTCACAGCAACCTCAAACTCCTGGGCTCAAGCGATCCTCCTGCCTCAGCCTCCCGAGTAGCTGGGACTACAGGCATGCGCCACCATGCTCGGCTAATTTTTTCTATATATTTTTAGTTGTCCGATTAATTTCTTTCTATTTTTAGTAGAGACGGGGTCTCGCTCTTGCTCAGGCTGGTTTCGAACTCCTGAGCTCAAACAATCCGCCCGCCTCGGCCTCCCAGAGTGCTAGGATTACAGGCGTGAGCCACCGCGCCCGGCCTGGGCTCTGGTTTCTTGACAAGCTGCTTCTGGGTAAATTGAGGCTGATAGTACTAGCTAAGAAGAGAGAGGTTGTTGGCTTAGGTTATGTTCATGTTCTGTTCTCCTAAACCGGAGGATGATCCAAAGTGTGTTTTGATCTTAGAATAACTGATATATATTCTTGCAATGGGTTTGTCTTCCTACTGATGTTTTGCTTTGAGATTAAATTCAGTCTGAATTTCTTGGATACCTATGAATTGATGGGAGGGAAGGCAGTATAGAAAAGTGATAGGTAGAAGAGGAGGTTGAATTAGCTCTAAAGGTTTTTCATGGAAGAGCCACATGGAAGATTATTCAGAGTTGATGGTACCACACAGTCAATCAAATGGGGGTTTATGGTGAAGGCATTTTTAATGTTAACCTAGATGTCCAGCTACTTGGAAGGATGAACTTTTTTTTTTTTTTTTAAGACAGAGTCTCACTCCGTTGCCCTGAGTAGAGTGCCGTGGCATCAGCCTAGCTCACAGCAACCTCAAACTCCTGGGCTCAAGCGATCCTCCTGCCTCCTGCCTCAGCCTCCCAAGTAGCTGGGACTACAGGCGCGCACCACCATGCCTGGCTAATTTTTTCTATTTTTAGTAGAGATGGGGTCTCACTCTTGCTCAGGCTGGTCTTAAACTCCTAACCTCAATCCATCCTCCTGCCTCGGCCTCCGAGAGTTCTAGGATTACAGGCGTAAGCCACCATGCCCAGCCAGAAGGATGAACTTGATCTTCATGTTTAGGGGTGGAATTTGTGAAGGATATTTTGGAAATGTTTTTTGGGTATAGAAGATGTAAAGTTTGACTCCTTCAGGAAATGTACATACCCAAACAAATGGAATTTTTGGGTTTCAGGGCTAAACACAGACAACTGGTGTTTAGTGGTAGCTGTGGCCTCCTAGGTAAATACTTAAAGCAGAAACATTTCAAAGAGATGGTCTTTCATTTTCTTTCCAGAGTAAGGATTGCTCAGTTGGGGTGGCCGGGCAGGTTCCTGAGGAAAGGTTACTAGTTCTGACTGGTCCCTGCCTTGTTCCCAGTTCTATTTTCAGAATGTGAAGTACATGCAGTTGCAAGTAGATTCCTTTAAAATTCATAATGGACAAGTCCCCTGTCAGTTTGAATTCATCAACAAACCTGATGAAAAGTCTTACTGTAAGCAGTGGCTCAATGCCAACCCCAGTAGAGGGTTCCTCCTGCCAGGTAAGGCCTCTGTTCCCAGGTTCCTGGCTTCTGATTGGGAGAATGCCCTACCCTGTATTTGCTCATTTTCCTAAAATAAGCTTTTTGCTTGAGTATTTTATTCTCTGCTTGAAACTTTTTTTAAAGCCCTATAAAAGAACCCATTTATAAATAAAATATAAAATAGCGGGGAGCATAAGTTGAGTTTCAAAAGCATTTTTAGTCATTTATGTGTTCCATAATTTCACAGAAAGAGAAAACATAAGATTGCTGTAGAGCAGGTGCTGCTGGTAAAGGAACCATTTTCACTTTCTATCTCACTATAATCAACTCCCGATTCTCGGCTCTTATGGAGAACGGTAATGGGGAAGTAATCCAGAAATTATATCTGGCCCTGGAATGCACCATCTGCATCTTTCCCCTGACTTCTCCTTTGCACTCCGTATGATGCTGTGTCGCAAAAGGATGAGGGGTGTTTGGTGGACAGTTCACAGGCTGATAATTGTATTATATTTCTGCTGCTTCAGGTATCTTCATCTCACCTGGCTCAAGGAAGACTCTTTGATCCATACCTTCTTTTTTTTTTTTTTTTTGAGACAGAGTCTCACTCTGTTGCACGGGCTAGAGTGAGTGCCGTGGCGTTAGCCTAGCTCACAGCAACCTCAAACTCCTGGGCTCAAGCAATCCTACTGCCTCAGCCTCCCTAGTAGCTGGGACTACAGGCATGCGCCACCATGCCCGGCTAATTTTTTCTATATATTTTTAGTTGTCCCACTAATTTCTTTCTATTTTTTTAGTAGAGACAGGGTCTTGCTCTTGCTCAGGTTGGTCTCGAACTCCTGAGGTCAAACAATCCACCTGCCTCGGCCTCCCAGAGTGCTAGGATTACAGGCGTGAGCCACCGCGCCCGGCCCATGCCTTCTTATTGTATGAATATTTCTAGCTTGACCTGTGTGCTACTTGGATTTTATAGCATTTGTCTATTCAGATGTTTTTGTTTGTTGTTTTCATATTCTCAGTTGCACTATAAACTCTTTGTTCTTGTGTCCCTGAGTGCTGAGCGCATAGATGCTTGTTGGTTGCCAGATACCTTTTCTTTCCTTTTTTTAACCCTTTATGTCTTACCCTCTTCTCTGCTATCTTCTTTTTTTTTGAGAGAGACAGGGTCTTGCTCTGTTGCCCAGGCTACAGTATAGTGGCATCATCATAGCTCACAGCAACCTCAAACTCTTGGGCTTAAGTGATCCTCCCGCCTCAGCCTTCGAGTAGCTGGGACTATGGGTGTGCACCACCACGCCTGGCTAATTTTTAAATTTTTTGTATAGATGGGGTTTCACTGTGTTTCCCAGGCTGGTCTCAAACTCCTGGCCTCAAGCAATGCTCCTACCTCGGCCTCCTAAAGTGCTGAGATTATAGGTGTGAGCCACTGTGCCTGGCCCCTCCTATTTTCTTTTCCCCTTTCCTCTTGGCCTCCCCCAGCCAACATTACTCTTTTTACTTTTCTGTAGATTCTGACATTGAGATTGAATTGGAGCTCTTTGTAAATAAGACCACAGCTACAAAGCTCAACTCGGGTGAAGACAAAATTGAGGACATTCTGGTCTTGCACTTGGACAGGGGAAAGGATTACTTTTTGTCTGTGTCTGGGAACTACCTGCCCAGCTGTTTTGGATCTCCCCTTCATACATTGTGCTACATAAGGGAACCAATCTTGGACCTACCACCTGAAGTTATTAGTGAGCTGGTGAGTAACATGCCATGAGGAAACATCTACAACTTTGTAGCAGCCAAGCCAAACAAGATATTCCTATGCCTACCTTCCTAGGGACTTAAGAATTCTTCAGCTTCTGAGACCCTGCTTAGTCTGTCAGTTATATATTGCTGTGCAACAAACCACCCTGAAATTTTAGTTGTTTAAAACAACAGTGAATTATTGTTTCTCATGACTCTGTGGGTTTCCAGTGTCATTCTTCTGCTGGTCTCGCTTAGGCCACAAATGGCAGCTGTGATGGCTGGAGGTCTCCAGGTGGCCTCCCACATGTGTCTTGGTGTTGGCTATTCTCTGGGCCTCCCTCTCCATAGGGGTTCTCTTCATGCAGTAGGCTAGCTCAAGCTTCTGTAAGTGATGGCAAGAGCATGAGAGCAGAGCTGTAAGGCCTTTGTGACATAGGCTACAAAACACACATGATAACTTCTGCCATGTTTCACCAGTCAGAACAAGTTATGAAGCTGGCCCAGATTCTAGGAGTGGAGAAAGACTCCACCTCTCGATGGGAAAAGCTGCAAAATGTTATGGCCATGTTTTTCAGTCTTTCGTATATAGTACATGTCTTAGTTTTTGCTGCTATAACAGAATACTACAGACTGGGTGGCTTATCAACAGCAGAAATTTCTTTCTTTCTTTTTTTTTTTTTTTTGAGACAGAGTCTCACTCTGTTGCCCGGGCTAGAGTGCC